ATACATACATACATACATACATACATACATACATACATACATACATATTTTCTTATGTTAAGTCTCACAACTTACAAAGTTTATTTCTTTCTTGGCAACAGCTCCATTGTACAGTAGGCTGGGACTTTCCTCCTGTAAAAGAGAAGTTGAACCCATAACCACACAGATTATGGGTTTGCAATGGAGGTTTCTGTGAAAGTACTTTATGTTAAAAAACATCCCCTCCAAACTCACTTTCGGCTTTTACTGGTCATCTGATACGTGGAGGAGTTGCACAGGGTAACAAAGTCAATGCTAATGACTTTGCAACCTCGTTTATGTAGGAACACAGTAATGGTAAACGTCTCAGTAACAGCCAGACTAAGTTACACCATATCCCTGTTGAACAGAGGGGTGCTTCTCAGCTCTCAAGTCCACTTTCTGGATGTAGTCTTTGTTCATGATGTTTAGTTTTACATGGATAGAATCTCACTCCCAGCTGCCCAAACAGTGACATGACCCACTTTTTACTGAAACTCTCCTGTTGACATTGAATATTGTCACTGACATTTACTTTTGTCTTGAAAAAAAACTCTTGAAGAAAATGTTGTTTTTCATGCGTGTGTTCTGCAACATGCATGCTTTCTATTTGGAGTCTAGAGCTGGTTTTCCGCAGTTAAATGTTAAATATCTTTTAACTATGCCTGTTCTAAGGGTAATGTTTCATAATGACAAAGGAAATCAATTCATGAATTACATCAATGGTCCAGTTGGTATCTAAGGAAGTGTGCTTCTCCTTAACCTCAGTAGAGGTTTTGGATAACTCATTTGTTGATCGTTGACAAAGAAGCCGATTGTTTGACATATTATGTCACATGATGAGTTACACAGCTACGGACCATGCAAACCTGTTATGTACATATAGTTTTAATAGCAAAATAAAGTGAAATAGGTATTGCTTTAAATTATTTAAATTCATGACTACTTGGTATCATTGTCCTTTATAAAATTAATCAGTATCAATGGCCCATTTAATAAGTGTAATAATTAGACATGTTCCAGTTTCCATGACAAACTTGTGCTCAACAGTAATTTGGTTAGAGGATATACATGGATACAGATGTTAAATCCCAATCACTTAAGCTTAGTTATATATTCACTTACTTCAACCAGTTCTCCAGCTTCTCTGACTTCTGTGCTGCAGCCTCCAGGAAAACACTCCAGTCCGCGCCTCTCTCTTATTTTCTGCAGGAAGTCATATGCCCTGGATTTTTCCAGCAGTGCTACCAGATAAACAGAAGACAAGGAGGAAATAATTCACCTTAAAAAATAACAAAACGTCTTCAACTTTGTGTGACAAAAACAACATTTCACCTCCTTCACAAATAAAGGGAATCAGGATCATCATCGTCAACAGTTTTGCTGCCATGGCCTCCTCCAGACTGTTTTATCTGGCAAACTTTAGAATACTGTGGCCCCTCTCAGCTCCTGCCACTTTTTGTTTTTGAATCCCCACGCCCACCGATGTCTTAATAGTAGTCCCACTGGATGGAAAGGCATCAGGTGGATTGGCTCTGATAAACAAGGGTGGGTGGGGGGTCGGGGGGGGGGGGGGTAACCGTATGATGAAAAGAATCAGTACTTTGAATAGAACTGTATTTGCCTAAAGAATTATCAACAACTTTTATTTGGGTTTGTTAAATCTTAAAAAAAGCTTATTTATAAGTGTGAAGGGACATAATTCCCTGTACATTAACAAATATAAAACTAATATAATTCCTGTTTTATCACTCACTTATACTTATCCTTGTGGTCAAATTTCACAGTGAATATACAATATGTAATACAAGCAGAAAGCGGACTGATTATGTGTTAAGGTTAGATCAATAAGGATGCGACCGATTTGTAAGTTAAGACTTACAAAAACTTTTAATGATAGATTACAAATAGCTGAGCAGAACTTAAATCCACCCTCCCTATCATCACTGACAGAAACATATAATCAAACATATAACATATAAACATATCATCATTTAGACAAAGCAACTATGCTTTTGTGTATGATGTTATTTTCATCGCAATACTAAACCCAACACATAAACTTTAAACTTTGTTTAATAAAGCAATGAATTTGGCAAGTATAAGCGCTTAAGTAAAGCAACATTTTTGGAACAATTTGTTAGATCCCACATTCAGAGGAAACTCTAAAGATCCTGCTGCTAGATCAGGCATAATTATGTACTATAACATCAGATTAGATCTGAACCGAAACAAGATATTAAAAAGTATATGACCCACTTAGTATCTGCCCCTGCCCCTGCCACTTAATCATTAACACCAAAAAATTTGCCAAAATTGTGTGAAATAAATCTAATTAATAACATCTGAATGGGAAACTAGGTTATGGGAAAACTGTTAAATTTGCTGCGATAATAGTAACCTCGAGAGAAAAGCAAGTGTGGGACTTCTCCATCTGTCAATATTTTCACACTAGCTCATATTGACCAGTAGGGGTCGCAACATTCCATCCATGCATCCGGAAGTTGTGAAGCGAAATTCATCATTTTGAAATTTAAGTTCAGCTAGCTGTTACTTGTGTGTTAGCGTAAGCCAGTGTTGAAAATCCAACCTTTTGTTTGCTACAGTCATTACAAGATACAGGCTTGCTGTTAAGGCAACAGTACGTTTGGGAAAAAATGAAGCAACAGTGAGGTAATAACAGCTCCTTGAATGTGGGTATTGTTGAGTTGGTAGCTAGCATAGTAGCCCGCTAACGCTAGCTTTGTCGCTACAGTTACGCCACGAGCTAAAAGTTATCTCGGGATGTAACACTTTAACGGTCTGTTAACAAACACCCCCGCTAGAATGCACTTCGGTAGCAATTTTTGGTTTCTGGCGCGACTTTGGCTGTCCTTTTGTTTTAAAACGATAAATATGGCCCTTGAGGTACAACATACGTGGGCTGGTGTATCGACTCTATTCAAACAGCTGTTTCATAGAAGGCCGTTAAGTTAACAAATATGACCAAACATGCATTCTATTCTACTATATTGTCAAGAAAGAAACTGTTGGACCATGTTGTTGAGCTGAAATTGAAGGCTGGATTAGAGCGCATGTTACTTTTGTCTTTCAGGTTTCGTTTTTTGTGTACTATGAACTCCCTGTCAGCCCAGCCTCCGGCTTCAAGCTCTGCATGCAGGACCCTACCTGGAGAGGGTAATCAGGTATGACTAAAAATGTCAACAGAAAAATTCAGTTTTCCTTGTTTATATTGTATTTGAGCTGTTGATAAGGGGTATATTGGTGCTCAGGTACAGCCAAAGGCCCCCCTCCTGCAGATTCTGCGCGTGGCTGGAGCCCAGGAGGATGTCTTCACGCTTAAAGAGGTGAGCTTTCTGATCAATTGGCAAGAAAGTTAGCTTGTAACATCATTCGTGTTCTGTTGTTGCAATGTTTCTGTTCTTACTGCATGGCATCTAAGGAGTGCCAACTGCCTCTGTGGCAGTGCTCACGCCCCTCCAACAGGTGGCAGCATTCCAAGGAAGTAGTTGCTGGCAAATTCTTACCCATGATTTCTGAGACTCAGCTTTCTGTCTATTTGCTCAAAAAGGTGATGCACTACTTGGGTCAGTACATCATGGGGAAGCAACTGTACGACAAACAGAGGCAACACATTGTTCACTGCCAGGACGATCCTTTGGGAGAACTTCTGGAAGTTGAGAGCTTCTCTGTAAAAAACCCAAGGTAAACATCCATGCCTTTTCAAAAGGGCTGCTTATAAGCAGTTGCGCACAAAACATTTATAATATGAGCTTAGTGAACACAGGGAGTTACAAAAAGTTAAAAGGTAATAATTCTACACCATTCTCTTGTCCCAGCCCAGTGTATGAAATGCTCAAGAAATACCTGGTGGTACTTGTTTGTGCTGGTAAGTGCTTTTAATATCTATCAGTTTATTTTTGTTTGTGTCAAGAGAAAAACATGGGCAGTATATTCATTTTGTGGACACTACATTTTGCATTTGTGACTGATTGAAAATGATGTGGTCCTTGGATGTTTGTTGAGTTTCCTGTTTCATTTGCGTGCTTCTTTAGAGCTTCAAAGGAAAGTATTCGTGGGGTATCTCCATCTATAATTCTTACTCATTATAATAAGCAACCTTTCCTGTCAGTCACTCAATGAAAAACAGATTTGGCATCATCTGGGGATGCAAAGATTTCTAAATTCCAGGAAGAACACCATTTTTCTTCTTGTCCCTCAAATCTACTGAAGAGGGGCTCACTAAGATAGCGTATAACACTATAATTAAAAGGGGGGCTGTCTTTTGTCTGTTACTGTGTCTTATCTGAAATGCAGACGCAGCAGAGAATCTTTCTGTGGGCCGTGAATGTGTTGAGGGCGGAGTGGAGGATCGTGGTCAGGTAAAGCCGAAGCATGGTGCTCAGAAGAAACAGAGACTCTCCTCTTTTCTCACCTCAGTACACACAACAGTCGTGGTCATAAGCCAGCAAGCTAACTACATATCTGCTCAACGTGTGTTTATCCCAAATAGGCTATAATAAATCCAGGAACAGCCTAGTTTTCTACGAGTTTAACGACAGTTAGACAAGATTCTGTCAGCTTGTGTGTACTGAGGAGGGTGAGGTAAGGGCTGCTGTCTTCGTCGGTGTACATTTGTACAGAGTGGCACCGTCTCTGTACAACCCCATCCTTGGTTTGGTCTGGTGATATATACAGAGCTCTTTTTGAGCCATCAGCTCCACCCGATGGATGGGGGGGCAGAGTCCCTGTCTCTGTCTGTCTCAGAGTTCTCTTCTCTGCTCCGGACTGGAGGATCTCAGCTCCTGATCAGCCACGGCCCTGTAACCCTAAAACATCCTCACCCATCCCGATGTATCTATAAATCCCCCTGTCATTTTCTACTTTTCCTGTGCTATGTCTTATGTTTGGTACACTTTCTTTCTCTACGTATAATAAGCAGCATTAAGACCTTAATTTATCAAGGATTTGCGTATTTTCAGTTGCTGCATGATCTTAATCCACTCTGATTGTAATTTGGATGATGGTTTTCTAATTGGCTTATTTTAATTACATTTCATACCCTTATAAGTCAGTCGTCCACTGATATATAATACACGACTGCTCAAGAGGTAGTTTGTGTTTGGAAGTGGATGCCATGTTTGTTTTCTGCTCTGTGTGATGAGAACATATTTTAAAATAAACATTTAATTCCTGATCCAGACCAGCGACATTTGGGAAGAAATGGATAATGAACTATTAACAGTTTTTTAAATTCATGTTAAGTTTCACACTTTCTTACTTCCTGCAATTTGTTTCACAGTTTAGGCTTTTTATTCCCCCTCTATATTTTCTTCTCTCTTCTTCTAAACCAATGTTTCATCGCCCAGCCCCTCTGTCTTCCTGTACTTCCCTCCCATGTGCAGAGGCCATTTTGAAAAGGAGCTGCGAGTCCTCCAAGGAACCAGTCCTGGTTTATGTTCTAATTCTCTCCCTTTATTCCCCTCTATAGATGTGTGGAGGTGTGGTCAAAGCAGGAGTGGTAGCTGGCAGTGATGGGCCTCTCCTGCAGACACCCTCCCAGAGACGACCTCGGGAGCCAGACGACGGTAAGGTGTTAGAAACACACAAGTTACAAAAGGCTGAACGTAACTGTTTACAAAAAGAACTCTCTTTAGAATCTCTAGAAGGCTTGCCACGTTCAGCCTGCAAACGGCCCAAACTGGATGTTACTCTGGATGAGTGGGATCTTTCTGGTCTGCCCTGGTGGTTCTTGGGTAATCTCCGAAATAACTACAGCCGTAGGAGCAACGGTTCCACTGACATCCACACAAACCAAGTAAGCAAACTCCTCTTTTGTCAGATAATCTTCAGGGAAACCATAAAACATTTATATGAAACAAAAGGTTGGGCCCAACCGAACCCACTGCTGGCAACGGTCCATCCAAAGCAGTTCTATGTCGTACCACCCAATAACACATTTAAACATTGTTCTATTTTTCAGTGTTGCAGTGGGAAAAAGTTACTCCAGCTTCTGCATGCATGTTCATCATGGCCCCTCTTGTTAGGGCTTTAGCTGTTTTTCTTACCTGATTGACTTGTTTTGTTGGTATTGTAAAATAAATTGGGGCATGTTCATGTTTGAGGTATTCAATGATAAAAGAAACATTTCCTGTCGAAGTATTGCTCTCTGGGCCGGCAGATTTTGTTTCTTGTTTCGTTTCTCCCTTGTATTTGTCAGACCTTCAGCCTTGCCAACAGTTTGGAAAACAATTTGTCTGCTGGATTGTACGTATTGGCCTGTATCACCACTCTGGTCACTTTAAGCCACCACTTTTAGTTCAGAACGTCATTTGAGATCTGACTTACAACATTGCTTATGAACCACACCTTAATTAGTTTTTAAATTTAAACACACTACTAGCATTAATTTGAAATGGTTCAATGACTTAAAGTTGAAAATGATGCAATTTTATGAAGCGGTTTCATTCATATCTTAGAAAGTGTTTCTTTTTTTTCCTTTTTTTTTGGGTGGGGGTTACTTGGGGCCGGATGGTGGGTGGTAGTCTGACTGAATTGTCAGCTGTCTCTTGCACAGGAGGAGGACACAGCTATAGTATCAGACACCACAGATGACCTCTGGTTCCTGACTGAGGGCGAGAGTGAGCAGGTGAGCGTGGAGATGAAAGAAGAAGCGCTGGAAGAGGGGAGCAGAGGAGAAAGGGAAGGTTCTCTTGAGGATGACTATGGAGGAGGGAAGGACGAGAAGACAGATCGAGAGGTATGTGACTATGTTTTTTTAATCAGTGTTTCCACGTTGCCGTATTACCCTCCAATGCATTTATTTTAGGCCATTACGTTTAAGAATTCTTTACTTTTGTTTAGATGCAGGAAGAGCCGGACGAAGATTCTCAGTGTCTGAGTGATGACACAGACACAGAGATCTCCACACAGGTCTGCATCAATGTGTGTCTTAGTTAAGGACTAATGTGGTTGTTGATTAAAACTATAAAGACCTGACTCTGGGTTTGCTTCTCAGGATGCATGGCAGTGCACAGAGTGCAGGAAATATAACACCCCTCTCCAACGGTACTGCGTTCGCTGCTGGGCTCTTCGAAAGAACTGGTACAAAGATGTCCCTCGACTAGCACATTCCCTGTCTGTCCCTGACATCCCAGCGAGCAGCTCTCTCACTGCCCATGACGAAGAAGATGACAGCGATACAGGCATTGATGTCCCAGACTGCAGCAGGACAGTGTCTGATCCAGTCATCCTGCCTTCTCACTCAACAGCGAGCCGGCCACTGCCCCCTATGCTCATGGGTAAAGGCAAGGGCCCGCGGCCCTCTACTTTCAGCAGAGAAGAGCAGTTCTCAGAGGGAGAAAGTCAGGAAAATCTGGGCATGGAAGTTGAAGATGTTCATCCCGAGGCATTGTTGGAGCCTTGTAAGCTCTGCCGAGTGCGACCACGCAACGGAAACATCATACACGGACGCACGGCTCACCTGCTGACATGTTTTCCGTGTGCGAGGAGGCTGCATAAGTTCCAGGCTCCTTGTCCAGGTTGTGGAAAAATTATTCAAAAAGTCATTAAGATCTTCATCCTTTAAAAATAACAAATCGTCCCATGTTCCGAGGACTTCAAACAAAAAATAACAATAGCCCATAAAACAGTGAAAATTAGAAAACTGCATGCTCAGAGATGCCTAACATAAGACGTACACTTTAGAAAGCCTGTAAATCCACAAACGCATCCACAAAATATAGCACTTGGTGAAGGCCCTTCGGGGTCTCCAGGGTTATCTCACCTCCTAGTCTTTTAAATGTTGTTGAATAAAACCTTAAGGGTTTGTCAGAACAAATGTTAGCTGTGCTGCCACAATTTAAATAAGGGACAACGCTATAGTATTTATTTATTTATTTATTAAAAGCTCACAGAGGGTGTGAACTCATATTCAATCTCATGAAGGATTGTTTTTTTTTTCTTTTTGTTTTTTAAAAATATTTTTTTAATCTGTTTTTTTTTTAGGTCGTGTGAATTTTCTGTTTGTTGGTGCATTACATTTCTGGTAAAGCAGCTTTGAAAATCTCGTCTCTTCCTGGGGTTGTTCAGTAGTGTGGGTATTTTCTTTTAAACTCGTTTTGTGCCTGCTTGCGTGTTTTGTTTCAGAGGTAAGAGTTGTGAAAACAAGACTGAAACAACACATGGTGAAAAAGTCTTAAACCCTTTATTTTCTGCAGCTATAGAATTCTAACAACCTGCTCCTAAATTTTTTTTCTTGAAAATGTATTCTTCCGGTGTAAGTGAATATATTGTAAAGAATATAAGTCCTGTATTTCGTAAATAGTATTTCAGCATTGAATTGAATTTACGGTGCTTAGGAACGTGCAACGCAAAAAACAAAACCTGTATTAACCACAATAATCACATCTGTGGTAATTTGATGTTTGTGTTCAATAGTTACAATTGCCAAACCTATGAGGACGGCTATGCCTGCAGTATGTCTTAATTAGTTAGTCCACCTTGAAATGTCATCATTCAGTTTCCTTTTCATCCCAAACTTGGGTTCATGTTGTGCTTTTTGTATGTTTGGTATTTAATTTATTTATGATTCAGTTTTTATTGTGTCTGCCCTCTGACGCAGAAAAACTGCACCTGTATTCAGTCGCTAATGGGACACATACAGAAATATGGAAAGGAAAACTAGCTGAGCTACTAAGCGGACTGTACCTCAAATGAAAGTGACAACAAAGTACTTATGGGGAGTTTGATTTAAGCGTGACACTGCCACATTTTGACTTTAACCTTAAAGTTTTGTACAGATTTGATTTGAGTTGTTCTGCATTGTCTGATGATTGTATTGCCGTGCCACATAGAAGCTGTTTGTTTTGAGTAAGCCCCTGTGCCATCTGTCTAATTCTCAAATGAATGATTCACAACGATGTAAGGCATGAGACCCTTTGCGCCTCGAAGAGGGTGTGCGATAGTTTTGTGATCTGCAGTTTCCATGCGCTTTATCTTTTTGCCAGCAGGTGGAGAGGATTTCCATCTTGTCGCTGCTGCCTACAGAAACTTACAGTACCAGTAATCGCTTGTAATGCACATTTAGAGCATGCACATCGTCATTAGAGCCTGCCTAGAGCTGGTTTCAGAGTTTTATTATATTAGCCATATAAAAGCACTAAAAGATTATCAGAGCTTGTATTTATAAGCATCAGTGTGCATTATAAGAAGGAGACAAATACCAGAAGCAGCCTGATGTAAATGGCATTATATATTGGTGATGCTGGTTCAAGTTAACAGCTATAATTGTGAAATTACTGATATAAATATAACATGTTCAAATATGGTACCCATTTTTTCTATTTGTTACAGATGGAATATATGTGACTTTGTTAAGTAATAAAGATTCGGAAATGATGCTCTTTTATTTACTTTTTGTAAGTGCAGATGATGTACAGTACCCCATGCTAAAGTGTGTGTGTTTTCTAAAGAATAAGTTATTGTATGACAGGCCAGCTGTCATGTGGCTTCTCCTCCTTGACGGAGCTCCAGCACCTGCGACTCTCCTCTGCTTACTCACTGTTCCTCTGCTGCTCGCTTGTCTTCAGCTTATTTCTGTCCTGATCTTGAGAAGTGGGGCAGACTCGTTGCCCTCTACTGTGTTTGCAGCTGTAATGCCGCTGCTATCTAGCTGGTTTATAAATACCACTGCTCCTTAAGCCTAAGGTGTTATTTCAGTACCAATTAGTCATTAGAGTATATTCCCTCTTTGTGGAAAGCCCCCATGTTAAACCGTACAGCAAAACAGACAAACATACAATGATGAATAGCTTTATGAAGTAGTGGATGGTTATTTTCTTCTATTTATGAGACTAGCATACTTGGCTTTTTAAATTGAAAAACAACACATTTGTACTAAGTATAGATCAGTAAAGGTCCAACAACACAGTAAGGTTTTCTCAAATCAACTATTTCTGTCAAGCAGCTAATACTTTGTGATTTGTGGGTAAGATGACTGACGTAATATAGAATTTATTGATTGGAAAATTTTATTGCAGCCATTATCTCCAGATGTTCATAGTGGAAAGTCAGAGTAGTTACATGACAACCTTTTGAAACACGCAACATAGAATAAATATTGAGATGATGATGTTTTCCAAGTGTTGCTGTCCCAATGTAAAGCTTCAACTCACTCGCAGCCAATTTAGAAAGAGCCTGCTGATTGGTCTGATTGCTCAATGGCATCCAGTGCGTCACAACGAAAAGATGAAGAATGCTATCACACCCCTGGCAACATGGCATCCAGTCCCTGGCAGCTCTAGAATGGTGCAGCCCAGGGAGTGGTGAGGGAGCTGCATGTTTCCATGGTGAGAGTTGCTCCATCTCACCACCCAGAATAACTTAATGCACTCTGTCTTTATCCTCTTTGACATACAGAATGTTGTACTTCCTAGAAGGGTTTGTCTCCTTGTGCTGCATTTATTGAATCTTTGTTGTAATTACTTCAAAGCTCATTCATAAATATATATGGTATGTGTAGATGTTACTCTCTTCCTGTATCATATAGCCACATGCCTCATTGATAGTGAGCCTCAGTTTGTTTACTTTCCATTGCTTTCTTCAGGTTGTGTGTATCTGTAACTGTATCTGCATGGCTAGGACCTTTCCTCTCTCACCTCCATTTAGACACATTCCCCTCTGTTGTGTCCGGGTATTTGGTCGCTCCAGAAACCAGGTGGCTAAATTTGTCCCGTTGCTGACATGAGAGAAGGTCATTGGAGCCAGAGAAAAACAAAAGAGAGGAATACGGAAGAAGGCATAAAGAATGAAGGTCTGAGAACAAGTTGGCTGAAAACAGAACAAAAGTCGATGTGTCGGATAAAGAAAAAAAAGAAAAGGAAAAGCAATAATGCTTGCTTTTTTTAATGCCTGTAGCAGAAAGCCAGATTGAGAAGGTAATGCTGAAAAGCTTGTCATAGTTTCCGTTTGGCCATCCACACAAATCCCCTGCCATCATTCCGTAGGTGTATACAGGTGAATCACGCTGCTGATTGTGGTTTATACTTGGCACGGTGTAGGTGTAAAAAGCCTTTAAATGAACTGGGGGGGAGTTTATCAGGGCGCAGTCTAATTGGGGTAAAACTGTCAGCCTGGAAGAGATGGAATCTTTTTTTGTTCCACGCTATAATGCCTCCTGTGAGTATCACACTGGCTGTGGCATCGATGGAATATACAGTATGTCATTCAAATAATCTGCTTGTTTGCGGCAAGTTATTTACAGTGAATAACTCCAGAGGTACCATGTGCTGCAAAGCATGCTGGTGGGAAGTGGGTTATGTTGGTGGGTATAAGGGGTGTCTGTGTGTTTGTCATTGTGCGCCAGAGCCTGGCAGTGAGTGAGATGCCAGCGAGGGGAAGGGCAGCGGATGGCTCAGGGGCTCAGTCCATTCCTGTGATTTAACATGACACCACTTGCACTAAGACGGCGACAGCTGCATATGCACATGCCGGTCATTCTGTTTGTTGTAGGGGATTACTCTGCGATAAAAGCCCCAGTGAGCAGCAGCGTGGCTGGCCGGCACAACTACTGTTTCCCCCCCCGACTTTAGAGAGCTTTCTGCAGTCCTCCAGAGCCCCGTGAAAACACAGGTGGGGCTCTTGGTTGTGAATGGGAATGAATGAGAGTATTCTCCTGATGATAAGCCAGACTGTAGTAGAGTCACATCACCTTTAGACATCAGTCAAACGCTTCATCTCTGAGGCTTATGTAAGGTTCATTACTCAACAAGAATAGCAGGGCTCGGATGTGTGGTAATCGAATCCGACCGCTTCCACGTAGTTTTCCTCAGAACATTCACTTGCTTTGCTTTTGTGTAGTTGTACAATGTGATTGTTATTGAGCAGGACCAGGCTGCTTTGTTTTCTTTTTACTGCTGGAGTGTAACAAGTACACGATAGCTGCAATCAGGAGAGTCGCTCTGGCATCAAAAGATTTGGATTTGGATATGCAGTTATCATGGCGACTGTCTCACAAACGTCGGGCTGGGGAGTCTGTTGCTGTCACTATGGTGACCATGTTATCTCTCAAAGGCCTTTAACTAGAATAAAAGATCGGAGCATGAACCAAGTGTCAGCCGATGGAATAGAAACACTTCCTGCCAGGGCTCAAAATGGGACTTGGTATTTTACACTTGGATTAACGTTTTCGTTCTTCTTCTTACAATATTCCACACGCCTTCTCGCCACAGCTGTAATTATGCAAATCCTCTGTTCAAGGCATTTTTCTCAGCTCAAACCTTTATTCCTTGGTGGAAAGTCAGGGAACAGAAGAAGAGTTAAATTAGTTTTCTCATACTTTGCATTTGTCTGTGATTTAAGGTATATTTGAGGCAGTTGGTATAAATCCACCTCCAGTCAATAACTGCTGTTGGTGTATGATAAGTTAGAAAACTAAAGCAGAATGTCTCAACACGTTGGGAGAAACAATCTTTCTTTCAAGTTTAATCCAGTCCCTTATTGCTTTGGTAATAAAATTAGAAGAGACATGCAAAATGTATATGTGTAAACGTTTTTAAAGGTTTAATTTTTGCCTCCTCCTTTCCGAAACTAATCTTGAACCAAATAGCCTCCTTATCATAAATTCACAAACCAAATTCAAATGCCTGCTTCAGACACCTTATAAAATACCAACAAGTAACATCTAAACACGACTACACGATCTGTTCCTGTGCTCTACACCTGATATTAGCTTCATCCATCTTTAATAAACGCTTCTTTATTGTTGTTATGTTACTCTCCTCTTACATATCTGAGATTTCCTGACTGTGCTCGGATGACAGTTCTTCAGGTCAGCGGTGATCTTGAGGCTAACCTGGGGTGAGGAGCACTCATACCTCCCTCCTCATCCCCCGAAGCTCAGCTGTTCCACAATGTGCTGCTGCCCGTCACCCAGGAGAAGAGGAGCAGTGTTGCCAGTGACAGGGCAATCCCTGCCAGCACACACACACACACGCACACACACACACACACACACACCGAGACCTGTGCACACTTTTGAGTGTTTTTTACCTCCACTGATTTTAGTTTGAGGGATATAAAGTTAAAATCCAGACTGAATAAAACATTCCTTGAATAGAAAGTGAGTCACAGCTAAAGTCACTATGGCAATAGTATAAATAGCACTAGCAATAATCACCTGAATAAAAAAACGCACATACACAAAAATGTTTGTGTATGTGCTATTCTGCAAAGAGAGAATAAATACTCGATTTCCACTGGTCTGCTGCATCTCAAGTGCTCACTTAGAAATGCTGAGAGGGGACTCTGGCCTAACGCTACACACAGGCACGCGTATGCACACGCGTGTAGCACGTGCGTGCGCACACACACACACACATATACTATCACAAGTTCCCTGGTTCTGCTGACAATGGGTTAAGATGACAGAGGGTTATGAGTGACTCTGACACACTGCGCACCCCCTCCCTGCTGTACCCCAGAGTCCAACACAGGCGTCTTTGTGCTCACTCCACCATCAGTGAGTATCCATCACAGGCTAACCTGACAGCTTAGTGCAGCCCTCTGCCAAGTTCCAACACCACATCTGTTTCCACCCCGAAGCTGAGCCCAAACCAAGAGACCAGACAGCAAACATCCAACCAAGCCCTCGTCTGAGGCACACAGTTTCTCCCACTTTTTTTTAACCACAGTGTAACATAATGAGGACATTACAAATAAAAGATGAGCAAAGTTAAAGGATGACATCCGCTCCATTTGTTTTGCTGCCAATAGCCCTTGAACCAGCATGACCCTGGAAGTGGTGCAGTTAGATGTCTGTTGCTGCTGTGTTTCTTTTAATCAAAACAAAAAAGTTTGCAGTGAGACAAGCCTGTTACCACAACCTTTAGAGCAATTTCAGTGATGTCCCACCTATAGTTAAGATGTCCAACATTTTATTTGAAACCTTAGATTTCTTTGGAAAATAATTCAGAACCAACAAAAAGTAGTAAAATACAATAACAAATATATTTAGAAGGATAAATGTGCATGATAACTTAATATATGGGGCAGGTTCACCTCATCTATAAACTAATGTACTTGTTTTATTTGTACCATAAAACTTATTCAAGATGATTTCAAGTCATAGATTATAGGAAGGACAGCTAGGCAGCTGGACGGACTTTTTGTAGACTTGCTTTTGAAACAAATACACAATATGGTTTCACATTAACCTGCTGCTACTATATATATTGCAGAGGTTGTGTGGAGCCTTGAAAATGAAATATTTTTTATTTTAACATTATTGATGTTCAATATTTTTGATCAAATTAACACTAGATCCTGCTTGTCATTCTCAAAACTCACAGAAAATATTCAGTGAAGACAATTTCTGTATATTCAAACTGATACATGGCCTCACTGTAAAAATAGCTGAAACACCAACGCCAACCAAATAACAAAAGACGTTTTCAATCTTAGGAACAAGTACAGATTTGGGTTTGGATAATCATATTCTGAACTCTGAGTATCTTTAGTTAGAAAAGCCATACCTATCAAACCTATGTATCAGAATAGAGTGGTAGAAATCTGAAAGGTAAGAATGAATCTCGAGTATTGGCAAAGCTCCACAGCTATGATTGAACCCTCTATCCATGGGACCACTTAAGCTATAAACAAAAAAATGATCTCTGTGACTCAGAGGAGTTTTTACTGTCGTCAATGCAGCCTCTGAGAGAATCATCGAATAAAGAATGTGTGGTCAGGTGAAATAAAAGATACCTAAAACACAATGACCATCAACAAAAATGTCACCAAAGTAATAACCCTGAGAACACCACGTGTCATCAGACGTGGTAAACAGCAGACACTGCATCCCTCCTCAGTTTAGGCTCTGTGTGTGGTTATGGCAACACATTTCCAGCCATCAGCAATAATTTCCCATCAAATGTGTGTATTACTGGAGAAATACTCGTCCATCTCCCATAGTGCTACGGCACACACAGGGATGGGGCGTATCGGAAGGTGTCCATCACTCCGGAGCACTCCTCTGTTGAGTGAAATATGTGTTCGGGCCGCGCATCCACTAGCTGATGTACGGAACTAGCTGATGAGCTATGAGGTGAGACATGTCCTGGGAGGATTAGCACCCACTGGCCAGGCAAAAGCAGTGACCGGCTGGAAGAGGTCAGGACCGTTCCCCTGCATGGTTGACTCATTATTGTCCCTTGCATTTTTAGAGTAATGTGAGTCAGTGTCAGCTTGCTGCTGGACTGACTGTGGCCTACGTGCCTGCGCAGACCTGCCCGGATTCAGAAAGTTGCGATGCTCAGAAGGTCACTTGCATCACACTGTGACGAGTGGCCGCCAACTAGACCACTGAAACTTTAGGTTTGGAATCAACAACAACGCATGGTCTCTCATGGTACTCGCCATCACAGAAAAACACTCTGGAACGCTTTCTTGCCTCTACATATCATCAGTTCTTAGAGGAGGTGACAGCTGTCTCCAGACTGTCCCTACCGCCCCGCCCCGCCCCCACAGTGGGGCACTTCATGTATAGTGTCATGCAGGAGGACGCAAGCCAGGGATTAGCTCATTAAAGCAGACATCTTTGATCTGAGGTTATCTCTTCCATTTCCTCGGCAACCCGATCACATCCTCGCCTCCTAAGACACACACGAGCGCCGAAAACCCCAGAAGGGCACACGTTCACCCACACACCAGCGGGCCTCAAAGCCCCGGAGAGAAGGGCCCAACAGAGATGTGAAGTGTAGATGTGCAGCAACAGCTAAACGCCGTGTCAGGTTTCTGGGGGGCTCGTGCTAAATTTAACCCTGTGATCCTGCAGCAGGCAGAGGGGTTTAAATGCCAGCCTACAGTTGCTCCACACCAGTTGTTCTCCACACGTCTTCCATTCATTGCACGCTTAGGCCGGGAAAGAAGACAGAGACACACACAGTCACTCCAACGCACGCTCCAGACGCAGGACCCACGGCCAGTCACTGAAAAGCAGTTTAGAGGGAGGCAGGAATCTTTGGCCCGTCACATACGACTACAACCTTGTCCAGTATGGAGCTTTTTGAGACCAACCCTTACTTCTTCCCTGACCAACGCTTCTATGAAGGAGGGGACAGCTACTTCCCCTCTCGCCTGCCCGGGGCATATGACCAAGCCAGCTACCAGGACAGGAACTCCATGATGGGCTTGTGTGGGGGTCTGTCCGGAGGGGCCGGTGTTGGAGTGACAGGTACAGAGGATAAAGCCTCTCCGTCCAGCCTGTCACCTCACTCTGAGCCCCACTGCCCGGGCCAGTGCCTGCCCTGGGCCTGCAAGCTGTGTAAAAGGAAGACGGTGACCATGGACCGTCGAAGGGCCGCCACACTGAGGGAGAAGAGACGCCTGAAGAAGGTGAACGAAGCCTTTGACGCTCTGAAGAGGAGCACTCTGATGAACCCCAACCAAAGGCTGCCCAAGGTGGAGATTTTACGCAGCGCCATCCAGTACATCGAGAGGCTGCAGGCACTGGTGTCCTCCCTCAACCAGCAGGACACTGAGACGGGACAGCAGGGATTGCACTACCGACCTGGTCCGGCCCAGCCCAGAGTAAGTAAGACGGAAGAAGGAACGGGCGACAGACACAGGGAAAGGAGCGCAAAACAAACAGAATGAAAAAATATCCTCTTCTTTTGACGTTAAGAGGCAGAAGAGGCACAAGTGGCTTTGTGAAGGATAGATAGTACGATAAGGCAAAAAGCGAGAATGCTGACAAAGTCTTAAGATCTCTGCCTTTGATCAGATAATCCGTGAGACCTGCTTTGAAACTGATTGAAGCGGATGAGTCTGTTCGATTTGGACGATAGACGGATGTTTATGTTGTAGTTGTAGAAAGTAAAAACCATGAATAAAAACCAATGTGACGTATGGCAGCAAAGTGACTTGTGACAGTAAAGAGTCATTTATATCAAGTTTTACTTGAGGCGGCTTGATGTGCATTGAGCTGCCGGTGCTGTGTCTGTGTGGGGTTTTCTGCGTCGAATCGTAACAGTGATTTACAACAGCTTCTGTGGCTGTCTCCATGGTAACAGGTGTCATCGTCAAGTGAGCCCGGTTCGGGCAGCACTTGCTGCAGCAGCCCGGAGTGGAGCAGCACTCCGGAGCAGTGCCCGCAGAGCTACAGCAGCGAGGGTGAGTGCTCTTCAGGAACTCTCATGAGGTGGCACAAACAAATCAGAGAGCTGCCACTGGTTCTGACTGCACCACTTGATCTTTTTCCCCTCAGATCTCCTAAGTGCTGCCGACTCCCCAGAGCACGGGAACATGCGTGCCTTGACTTCCATTGTGGACGGCATCACCGCCGCTGATGGATCGGTGGCTTTTCCAGTGGACATTCCCAAGTAGAACCTCAAACCAGTGAAACCGTACATGCAGGTGAACAGAGAGCCACGAACAAAAGGCAAAGACACAATTGGCACTAGAGGCTGACAGCCAGTTCTAATGGATAACGTAGTTTTTTGTGCATCTACTGATTTGAGTGCTTTGTCTTATGCAAAAATTTTGACTTTGTTTTGACCGATTTGTATTGTAACTGCTGATCTAAGGGTCTGCTAGCCAAACTGAATTCCTCCTTTCACACCAAGGCCTCATTCCCCTTACTTATCTGCCTTATCCCGGGGTCCAGTCCTGCCTGTTACGGCTACAGGTGGGTAGTCTAACCAGAGATTCAATGACTTTGCTGCAAAAACCCAACAACAACATAATTATTACAATAGATCTCTGTTATGCTTGCCTTCAGACTCACAGAACCACAGAGGAATGTCAAATCTTGGCTCTTCTCCTTTCTTAATTTACTATTTTCTCTTTCCACAACCTTTCCCTGAGCTTTCATTGTTTTAGTGTGAGTTTTAATTCTTAAACGAGACATGGGTTTATTTGTGGGGCCAATATGTATCATGGCAGTTTTGACCAAGATCTGCTTAATTTAAACAGGTTATGAATGCTAGTGATGTAAATACGTTCCCTTTTTCTACAGAGTGATTTTGCCATTTTATTTTAAATTTTTTGCTAACTTATTTTTGACTTTTATAACTAAGATTGTTGTGTATTTGTAGATGTTCCGAAAAGTGATATTTTCTGTTCTGTTCTTGCAATAAAAACCATTTTCAATATATTGTGGAATCTTGTCTAAAATATCATTTCAAAAGGAGCACAACATCCAAAATCTTTAAAAAACAGCTTTACTTATGTCTATATAGTGTCATAAATACAGTACACTTTTTTTTGGATAGCCAAATAATAAAATCTTGATTTGTCAGCATTGTTCCACACCTGGAATAAAGACACAATACTCATAGCTGCCACATAGCACATTACACCTTTTAGACACCTTGGAAAAACTGTAAAACAAAATGTAAAAAACAAAGATTGTACAGCCATCCAGCAGTTCAGATGCTGTGTTCTTATCTGACGAAAAGTTGGTCAGCCAAGAGTGCTGACTGCTCACTGGCACGTCTCCATGGCAACTAAATGAGAGGTGACGGAACGAGATAAGACAAGTCTGTCACTAAGAGCAGTGTCATGTAGATATCATTGGCTGAAGTTGAGCAGCAGTTTACAGTTGGACTTGAGAGAAAGTTTGGAATCAACATAGAGGAGCTACAGTGTTCACACTACCATCCACAGAGATAAGTCACGGTCACATGGCTGGGTCGGCCTTTCACACACTCCCCCTTCTACAAGTCGCCAGCAGAGAGGCTCATTCCCTCGACTGTGCACCTATACACACGCTTGCTCCTCATATTAAAGGATTCTCTCTACTCTAGGCTACATAGTGTCATACAGAAGGCGAGAGAGGCGGGCAGAGAGAAGTAACAGCTACATTGTGTCAAAAGAGGAGGAGAAAGGGATTAAAGGAAAGAAGAGGAGAAGAGGCAAAGAGAGAATTGGACCCATGAACCTGTGAAGAATCCTTGTAGAAATGCACGCATCTTTTAGTGAGTCCCTCCCACCAATGAATCACACACGTACAGCATACAGCAAAAGACACGCAAAGGTCCGACACAGAGAGAAAGAGAAAGAAAGAGAACAGTCACTATTGAATACAGGGCATTGGGTTTCATACAGCAATATCATATTGTTTCCATATATATTTCCAATATATATGTATATATATATATATTTATATTTTATATAATATTTCTATAAAAAACATAAGTCATCCATTGTATGTACAGGGACAATTAATGAGTAATACCTTGCATAACCGGTAGAAGGGTAATCTGCAGTGGGATCTCCCATTTATACAAGTATTAACCACTCTCAAGTCCAAAACCAATGGCCGCCACATCTCCTTCATTTTTTTCATAGTAACAACAGTTAACACAGGAAGATTTGTTTGGACTTGGCCATGTTGAGACGATCAGAACCAGGACAAGAACCCACAGCTGAGACCAAAGGAGCAGGAGCACAACACCACAACGACAAGGCTACTGGGAGCACTAAGGTAAACTGGGCGAGACTGGGACGAGCCTCCTTTACAGCAGCGAGCGCAACTAAGGCGCACTCTCAGAGTCCAAGGGTCAGAGTTGGCCTCTGTATTGCACGTGTCCACAGGAGAGGTGAGAGATGAAAGGTGGGAGGTGAGGCTGGGCAGCGGAGGGGCAAAGCCACCCCCTTGAGGCACCCAGGTCTCCCTCTCCGGATTTGGCATATCACTCTCAAAAGGCCGCAAGCATATGTCCGTATAGGTAATGAGAATGCACTGAAAGAGAGGCAACAATGAGGACAGTGAGATGGGAACAAAGTAAATGATCTATACATATGGAAGAGTTTACGAAGGGACATATTTAATAGGATTACAACAATAATAGTTGGAAATTCAGTGCTTTCAAATCAATCATTCCTCAAACAAAATCCACATTTTCTATAGAGAAAATTACAACATGAGTAAAGGAAACGTCAGGGCCGATGTTTCAATGTCACAAGTTTCTGTTTTGATACATTGATGCTATTTTTGTTGTGCAAAACTCAAGAAACAAAAATCCATGTATTTCTTAACAGCAATGAACAACAAAAACAGTCATTCAAAGGCAGCTGGTATCCATCTGTATTTTCATGTTGTGGTCCAAAACCATAAAAGGTAAGATAGTTCTTGACCGTCCAAAAAATAATTCCCCCTCAGTCTGCACAAAGGTTTCTTCACAAATGAAAGGCTATTTTTCTTCTATTGACATTAGCTGTTATATTATGGAGCACAATGTTTTAGATAATGAAGGCATTTCTTTCTTTAAAATCAGTTTTCAAGAAATTTCTAAAATTGAAATTTGGTCTAGTAACTAATAAACCTTAGAGGAAAAGGGATGTTTCAATGTCTTTAGTTAACTGCCTTAGTTCAAAGCCAGTCATCATAACTTAAGTCTGGCATAAGTGAAGTCAGTTCCGTCTGTAAAGTTAGTGCCACAGTTCTGCCACACAGCTGATCCATGCTGTTTACAAGCATACCCTCATTTCTAGCTGTTTTAAATAGTGTTTTATTAGCTCACCTGTTAGCACTAGCGCTCCTGTTAGTAAGTAGAGTGTGGTTAGCATGAATAGGTCCGCACAGCCGAGGGGTCAAGTCTCGGGGGCGCTGGGGGAGGAGCTTGAATTTGCGTTGCAGAGTAGGTTTATGGCAAAATAAGAAAGAAAGGCAAAGAGCAAGCAATTAGTCTGTCAGGGAAACCTGAAAGAAGCTGATAAAAACATAGGTGAGATAAGCCTTTTAATGTTACAAACCTTCAGGCTGGAGCTGTTTCTTGGGTGCTAAGTTCATTGAGGGGGGCATTGACATGGAGGCCATACGGAAACCTGCAGGTAGCGTTTCCATAGAGCCCGCCATCATCCCCAGACCAGTCCCTCCCTCCCGGGCCCGAAACCTCTTTCGCCACGACGGAGAGCGTCGAAATGTTTTGTCATCTCCACTCTACAGAACCAGGGAATAAGTGAAGGTCAAGCTATTTTCTTGAAATATATAGTACATTCTTTAAAATAACTGTTTGCAAAGTCACCTCCTCCATTCGCCGGTCCGTCCCCAAGGCTAACAGATTGTTGAACTCCCTGTCCAGAACCTGTCGTGCCTGGAAAACAAACAGCATGTGTGAGCAGAATATACTGCAAATCTGTGAAAAACATATCAACCTTAACATCTCTTAAAACACTTCCAATATAAATAAGAAATGTTTTCTAGTTCTAAGTTAAATCAGAATTGGACAGAGCTATGAACCCATGTCCTTGAATTAATTGATAGTAAATTCAGGATAAGTATAGAGGGTTGCTTAGTGGGTTACAAACAAACCACTAGGTGACCAGAAAAATGAACACATCTGATAAATACATTTTATGTTGGGCAACTTTGCTCTGCTCACAGAGCTGCCGATTTGGCAGTTAAAAATCGAATCACTACACACCAGAATAAGGTCGCTCATTACAGACGGATTTAATTTTTCCTACATTGCTACCTGTGTGTTCTGCATAGGGATCTGCAGGATGAGTGCTAAGCTGCTGTAGTCGAAGGTCTCATCCAGAGAGATGAGCGCTCCATGAACGCCACTTTCCAACAGGTTGCTGCTGTACTCCCTAAGACCAATGGACTGCACCCAGTGAATCACCTGCTCATTGGTCCACACCAAAACATCTGAAAAATTACATCAGGATTTTTAGGGATATTGCAGCACATGGTTAGGGTTTTTCATTTCAGGCAAATAGAAGCAATCGGTGAAAAATTGATAGATAAAGCCATAAAGTCCACGTGGTGCCAGCTCATTGGCACACTCCCTTTGTTCATGTAAAGCACAGCTGTCAGCCAACTTTCCGAGCCAGAACAGGCGGAGTGTGTGCCTGTAAGTATGCTTATGTGTGTGCAAACGGGGCAGAATTTTGATTTGACGCGACAGCTGAGTCAAGTTCATGTGCTGAACTCAAGGTCAAAAGGCCGCGATTGTTGGCTAGATCTAAGTGTGCGTGCTCGCGTGTGTGTGGACCACTCCACACACAAGTGGGGCTTTAGATCATAGCACTGGCTTTTTGACAGCTCAAGGAGCAGCTGTTTGAGTGTAAAGTAGAAAATGGACAATACCACATTAAACCACTAGGTGGTGCTGTGGCTTGATGAGGAGTTCCAGCTCGTGCACCAGTGCAGAACAGTGCTCGTGTGTGTCCGATTGTTTCTATGCACGTGGATCAGAGGCTGAGTAAAAAGCCTACCTTTCATATCATGTTGGCTGTCCTCTCTCCGGCGATCCAGGTCTTTCCTGTCATAATTAAGTCTCTTCAAGCACATAATCCCATACTGAAGACTAGCCCTGGAGCACAACCACCCGCCCACACGCCAGAGAAAAACACAGTGACATAAGCATCATTAGCATTCTCATCTCCAATGCTAAACTATCCACTTAGCAGATGAGAGGGGAGGCAGATCAAATGCAATCACATGGCTGCAGACCTGTGGAAGCTGTCTACCATCTTGAGGTGGCTCCTCAAGTCCTTCTTGGTCAGGTGGTCCAGCATTCGTGCATCAACGAGACATTCCATGAAGTAGGAACGGTACTGAGGCAGGCCGAGGCTGGGTAGCCATTCGTTTCCTATCCATTCATGATTCATGTCTCCATATGCCAACGTCTAAAGAGAGAACAACAATGTGGCCGATGCATGAAAAATTAAGATTAAACTAAACAACCTGTTCCAGAATGAATCAATCAAAAGCATATAATAAGTGAAAATAAATAATTTGCAATCATTTATTTTTGTATAAATAAGAAAAATCCAAATGCACTATAGGTCCACGTGCAGAACAATTCTTTTGTCACTGCTAACATTTTTTACATACTTGTAGGAGGAAAATAGCAGGTTTCCCCAACAACAGTAATAATTAGACTTAGTATGGATTTTACACATGTGACACCCAGAGACATGTTCATCATCAGAGCTTCAAAACCTCTAGGAAAAAGAAATGTCACAGAGTTGTCTTTTGTATGACAGGATGAGAAGTTAAATATTTCACATTGTTTTATCCTATGGTGCATTCAAATTAGTCTGACACATTATAACACCAGAACCACCTGATAAGCTGTCAATGTACAACTTCTGGGAAAGGCAGGCAAACAAATAACACACAGCTGGGAGGTTATTGGAGGAGACATTTGTCAGTCGCTTATTTTTGTGGACTGGCTTAATCGAATAACGGATTGGACACAGTGAGGAAATTAAACTACTCACAAGTTTAGTCAATAGAAAAGTGAGCCTACCCCAAAAAATCTTTAAGAAAGAAATACAGCTCTGAGCTAATTTTGATCTTGTATATCTCAGAAGGATCCACTTGCCTCACCAGTTCAGTGTATCCTGTGCTGAGGTTTTTCTCAGTTTAACACAATAGCACATCATTTTAAGGCCTTTCATAGCTGCCGTTTTGTTTCTGAATTCAGCCCAGTGCTGTGCCAGGTGTTGGATTCCGTAAAGCTGTGAATGACTCATATAGTCAGAACAAAAAAGGCATTCATTTTCCCACCTTACAGATAAACAAGATTATCATTAGAATGAATAATTATCAGAATTCCGACTGATAAATGGAGTACAAACATGAGACAGGAATTCATAAATCAGAAAGGATAGATATCTTGTTAAAGGAGGTGAGGATGCTTATTTGTGTTTTTGGTTGTTTCTGTATATATGTGAGAGTGTACACTTTCACTCTGTGCACGGACAAATGTTTGTTGATCAGATCCTCACCTGTGCCCAGCTGCCCTCCTCATTCTCCTGAGTGGCAGCATGGTGGAAACAACACACAAGTTTAGGCAGAGAGGGGCTAATCTGATACACATATTTACATATTCAGACACGCTCAAAGAAGCTCTTCTAGGTTTTTACCCTGCAGTAGGCCACAGTGGGACAAATAAGACATCAGCACTCATATTATCAATTGGACCTTGCATGAAGACACAGACCGTGTGATCAAAGGTTACATCACTTACATCCAACAGTCACATACAAATAGAAACAGAGACTAAAAACATGTCAGTGAATGATGCAGTTGGGATTCAACGGGGTCTTCCGGGAGAGGACATATGTGTGTGTTGCCGTGGAGACGGTGTGAGCGGGAGAGAGTGTAGGGTGGGGCTGATAGGAAGGGGGGGAGCACCCAGATGGTACTGACCGCTTTAGTGGAGGAAGCCAGGTTCTCCATCTCTTCGTGAGTCACCCACACATTTCCGGAGGACTGCTCAGAGGACAAGAACATACCCAAACACACACACACACACACACACGTACGAATGCATTCAAGCACAACAAGAGAAAAAAAAACACACCCAAGAATGCACTCGTGTGTATTTTCACACATATCCACCCCCATGCACACAAACAGACAAACATTGTGTTGAGTGATGCCAAGGAAGGAAGTGTATTTCAGGCAGGTAGCTTGTAGCTATATCTGGCACTGTTTGTGTGTTATTTCCCCACAGTTACCCATGTAACTTATGGCTGTTGAAATAGACAAGTCAGCCCGTTTGAAGGCATGGACCCAGCCTTGATTGAATAAAAAAAGGCAAAAAAGTGTGAGGAAGTATCACCTCAGTGTGCAAAGTGAAGGTTATAGCTAGAAGGGGAACAGAATCCCAGTGCAGGGTAACGTGTCCACATGTATTAGAATCCGGAATGACTCATTTGTTACAGGTTCTTGTGCACAGTTGTTTATGCGTTCACAAATTGCGGATGCACACTTGTATGCCATAAAAAAAAGAAAAGAAATGGAAGAAATGAATGCGTGTGGTATTTACCGTCCTGGAGGTGAGTGGAGCGGAGGGGCTGGTGAGGGACACCATCTCCTGGATGGCCAGACGAAGTTTAAGTCGATGCAGAGGGTTGCTGATGCCGATCTCCCTCTGGATCTCTGTGTCCGACAGAGCTGACATGATGGCTCCACTCTTCACGTTGGCACGGCACGCTGCCACATACCAGGCTGGCATACCCACCCACAGCTGGTAAAAGTAATCAACACATACACCCGTGTTGTTACCATAGATGTGCTGTCATTGGGAGGATGGAGCACGCATTGGGCTGCATGAATAATGTACTTTTTGCTATTATTGCACTCTATGATAAAAGTATGTAGCCTTAGAAAAGACAGAGTTCTATAATATGGCTATGTCTGGTTTGGAACTTGCGGTATACCTCTAGCCATGAAACAACTGTAGGACCGTCCCATTGTGCAAATGGAAGCCCTCTTTTCCTGGCATCTTCCAGAAGCTCATGTCTTAATTAAGAAAACACAGACACAGAGGGAGAAGTGAGGAACAAAAATAACCAGAACAAAAAAAAACAAAAACAAACAAACAAAATAGATCTTTTTACTTTTTCTTCATCCTGCGGTCCCTCTCAGCCTGAGTGCCTAGTTTTCCCAGAGTCATAGTGTCACCGATGCCCATCTCAAAGTCTAAAATACAACAGGTATTAGTTTGTTTGCAGTTCAGTTATCGTTATGTGGTGTAGATTGGAGATATGGAATGCAGTCCACAGAGAACCTGTCAGAGCTGGTAGTGACTGTCCATCCCTGCTGACAGCCTGGTCCATCCGACCCTTCTCCTTCTTACCGAACAATCGACCAATAGATGACTTGATACCTTTTTTCTGTTTGCTGCAACCACAATTGAGTGGGGGCAAGTCGTTACTATGAACCCTTCTTACTTAATTACATATAAACAAGAAAAAAAATCCTGTCAAGAATTCTCAAATTCGAAATTCAAATATGCAAATCTGGTCATATTCCGCTAAATATTAGATTGATATATTATACAACAGACTATGATCAGAAAGGTTTATTCAGCTTGGCTGCAGAAAGACTGACTCTCCTGGCAATTTCTGTGCACACAGTTTGTCTATTTAGCACCTGTGTGTTTGTGTATATTTACCCTCGCCCATCCTCCAGGCTGCCTGTGAACTGGGCAAAATTGGTTTCCAGTCGTAAGCTGCGGGGGGACGAGGGGGGTGATGTCTCACACTTAATAGTAGCTTTGTCCACTTCCACCGGAGACTGAAAGAGTCACAGAAGCTTCTTAGTTTGCCGTGACAGATACAGTCAAATGAAAGCACTGTCATTTTTGCTGTTTTTGTACACTTACAGCTACTTTCCTTCTGTGTTTCCTCAAGTCACTTGGCTACCGAAAAAGAAAAGAACACAGTGTGTGAAAGCAGAAACGCAATTTTGTCTTGGTTTCTAATGATTGCATTCTGTGAGCTTTCTGACCAGGGTCATGATGCCAAGATGGTGGCTGGCGTTGCGTCCGTGATGTTTAGGTGTGGAGTGGCCGCTGGTGGGTGGGGAGGAAGATGAGGCAAGGGACTGGGCAGTGGCAGAGGTGGGAAGGGCCCGGGGTCGAAGGGTCACGTTAAGACCATCCATGCTGCCGCTATTTACACGGGACTCGATCTCATCAGACCGCAACTCCGCTGACTCTCTTTCTACCTGAATCATCCTGTGAACAGGAAACATGCACACATGTATGATCAAACTGTGTCCTCTGTTCTGTGCCCCTTAAGATGGACAAATATCAACAAACCTGTTCACTGACAAGTTTGACAGCATTGTTGGTAACTTTTTAAATTAACTTTCTGATTAACTTTAATTTAACTTTTCGTGTCTATTTTAGAACCAATTAAAACCGATTTAATCAGAGGGACAACAAATCTAAAAGGAATTACTGTGATCTATTATCTGATTTTATAGCTGACCATATTTGAATACACATTTCAATTAATTGTATGGTTTTTAATATGGAATTAGTTTCTTCAGGGAAATCGGATAATAAACTATCAGCAAGTTTTCAAACTACCATTTTTTGTTTTTGCCATCCATAGGTTCCATCTCTAACCAATAGCTATTACAAAAAGTAGCAGCTGTATATTTTTCTGTATTATCTGTCCCTTTCTATTAATTTTTGCCTGGCTGCATTCCCTCTGTCTGAGTCCTGTTTCCTGTTGCTGCACTGCCCCAGTCTCTGTGTGGAGGAATCGTCTAATGTGTTGTCCACCTTATCTCCTCATTGATGGCGTCAAGTTGCTCTTGCAGCATGAGAGCTAAGGTCTGAGCATCTGATTGACCGCTGGGGGAGAGCAGGGCAGAGCTGACGTCATCGTCCATGTCTGACTCTGCCTCAATGTCGCTACCGAGGAGGTGGCCCACGCTCCCCCGCAGAGATTGGTAGTCCTGCTCAAACATCGCACACACCTAAACAGATATAGACATAAGCCCAGGTTGGCAAAGTCAGACATAATTAATACTGATCTGTTTTTATTTTTGTCAAAACATGAATGAAATGCCAAGAATGAATTCTGTAGATTTACTCATATTAAATGTATACATGTAAAAAAAAAACAATGTGACACTTGCGGAGGCAGGTTGTGAGAAGAAATGGTTGGACAGGAAACTTACATCACACATCATGTCCAGCAGCAGGTGAGAGAGACAGGAAGACAGAGAGGTTAGTAGAGAATGGGAAGTTAGGCATGGAGATCACACACAGCTTGGCACTGACACTTACTCACAAAGTGGACATGAACCTGAATAAAGCACTGTAAAGAGGCAGCATGTTGTTAGAAGAGTTGTTAAATGTGATTTCGTTTGTTGGTCTGTCAGGGCTTTTCCTATCGCTTGTGTATGTGAATGAAAGACGTGTCTATGTGAAGAAAAAGAGACAGTCAGCACCTTGTTTGGGTCATCGCGCAGCGCTGATAGTCTGCCTTTCTGTGCCCGCCTGATCACAGTTGTGCTGTAGTGGCCATCCTGGCCCTCCACCACAGAGAAACGGAGGTCACTGGAGCTGCCTAAGTGAGACCTGAGAACACATACATACAACAGCTTGCCGTCGATAAAGTAAACGTTAGAGTTCAACTCTCTGTGAAGAAAATCATAAAGCCCCTGTGTACCGAGGGTGGGTTCCATCTCCGAATGCACCACTCCGGCGTTTCAAATGGTCAATCTCATTTCTCAATTTATCAATCTCCCCAATAAGCCGTTCCTAAAGGAGACAATGGCACACATAAAAGCAGCAGCATAAAGCAGTTTCCTGGCTGCTAACAGTTCATAAATGGTTTGGAATTATGGAAAGAGTTGTTTTTTAAGGAGATCAACTATATTTTTACTGACCCTTGTGTGGTGGAATTCTTCAAGCTGTTTTTGGCAGTTCTCGAGGTCTTGAATAAGGGAATTCTAGACAAAATCAACGAATCATAAAAAAAGCAAAAACTATGTCAGTCGTTGAAGTTAATGATATACAGTGTTTTTAATTTAGTTTATGCACTCAGAATAACAGCAAGAGGTGCTGCTGTTGCTTAGTTATTAAGCAGGCCTTGCCTTGTCCTCCAGAGCAGCCATGCGTTCCTTCAAATGAAGCTGCAGCCGTTCATTCGACTCAGTGAGCAGACGATCCACTGTGTCAGACAAACGCTTGTTGTGTTCCTCATTCATTTTCTCTCTCTGACGAGCCTGATGAGCAGAAAGGAAGAGCCAGGCGAGGGAAATTATATTGTCACATTTTGTCTTTGATATAGACTGTATGTGGGTGTGTTAATGCAGCTAATCAAGCATCTCTACACGGATTAAAGGATAAACCATGCATTTAGCCCTAGATCACCGGCTGCCACATATAGGTCTTCTTGGCCACAATGGATCTCGCAGCGAGTGTGACTTAATTACAGTCATTTAAGTCATAATGAAAAAGGTTAAACAGCTTCTGTTAAATGGGAAACACTGTGCTAAGTATGTGTTCTGCTGTAATCTCATTAAAGTAAATCATCACAGGGACATACAAATACAAAACCGTAGCTGCATCCTCGGAGAGCTGTTTCTGCTAAATATAGTCATGAGATCATAGAGCGAAGGAAAAAAATTAGCCATGCGTGAATTATTTGAGTCTAAAGATAGCAGCCAATCAGTTTTACGGTGGGGAGGGGAAGCTGCTGTAAGATATCTGGATTTTGTTTGAATTCAGGGAACAATGGCCTAAGACTCACGGCATCAAGTTAATGAGAAGAACCAGCCAGGATGTGGACACATCGTGGTGAGAGGACACACAGACCCATCACGAGCTGAACATGCACACACTTATGCAGACACACAAACGCACCCTTGCTAGCTCTTGGTTCTTCTCCTCTAATTGTGACTCCAGCTGTCTGAGCCGCTCCTCCACGTTGCCATGCCGTTCCTCCGCCTGCAGGGGGTAGCACAGGCATATGCTGTTAGGCAAACCCCCCCCCACCGTGGGGACTGAGTACCATATTCTCTTGCTTCTGAAATGTTTATATCTTTTTTTTTTTTTGTATATTCTACAGTTACCTTGGAGAGAGCCGCAACTCTCTGTGCCAGCTCGGCCTCCACCTCCGGCAGTGTCTCCGCTTTCCTCATGGTCTGAGCCAGTCTCTGCTCTGCCATCTCCAGCATCTCCTGCAGCTGGCGCACCTTCTCCTCGCTCTGGCACGCACAAACACGTTCAAATCAAAAGGAGGGACATCGCTGACGAGGTGTGATTGCTGTAGTGTAGCAAGCGAGCGGCATGGCACGACACATGAGCACGCATGGAGGATGTTGCCGGTGCTTCCCTTGAGGAGCTGAACTCAGATTCACCTTGAACTGCACATGAACTTTTGAACAGTGTTTTTATATTGCTCACTACCTATGAAACCTTGTTGCAGATGGTTAGGGCATCAAATATTTAAAATTTTGCTGGAGAAATAGCAAAAAGAAAGTAAAATATCAGCCTGAATCCACCACCCGTATGCCACTCTTCTCCAAGAAACCTTAACAGTGGAACACAGTCAAGGAAGCTTGAACATTGCAGAGTAATGAAAACACACATTAATGAATACTGAATTATTCCCAGGTTGATGTTTTGGGAAAAAAAACGTTGTTAGAAAATAAATAGTTATCATCAAATTAGTTAGTTTGTTTCACTCATAATATCATAGAGAGAAACATAACTGTAGTAAACAATGGAAAGTCAAACAAATGTATTCAAAAAGGATATATTGTTTTACTTTAAGGAAAAATAACCATGGGTTTTCCATGGCATTAATTCAAAAAGTATAAAATCACCAACTGTAAGTGCATAAACAAGGCTAATGCTGGCGAAACTGAGCTTTTTTAATCCTCTAACTTCAAGTGATTGATTTTTTTTAATGTGAATGCATGCTGTCATATTTCTGGCAGGCAAAGTGTTGATGTGTGTTACCTGTCTATGCAGGGAGTCCTTGGTTGCCAGCTCATTCTCGAGTTTGTCATTTAGGTCGTGGATGTGTGTTGTCTCCCGCTGTGCAGCCAGATAGCGCTTCTCTAATGTTGTTATCCTCTCCTCCATGTCCTCTCTCTGCAGGTTCAGAGAAAAAGGAATAAATAAGAGAAAAACTAAAAAAACAGATTTCTAAAGAATCTAATAGTTACTGTATATTTATGCGCATGTTACCCACTTCATGTGTTGAAACTATATATCAACAAAATACTGCAAATTTGGTTTCACACATAAAACTTCCGGTTTTCTGTTGAAAATGAGAATTATAATGAATCACTTCAAATGAAACTTAAATGAAGAAAGAGCAAACATTCGTTTCGCACCAGATTAAATTTTGGTGCATGGAAATCAATACATTCTGTCGAACGATCCCCAAAAATCTGTCATCAAAAAGCCTGAGCTGTGACAGTTTACCAAATAGAAGAGGCTCAAGAAACAAACCATACATCAGCACTATGATTGCTGAATGTTTGGATACTTGTTATGTTGGATGGCTGTTGGTGGCTACTATGAATTAATCCCCATCACTGGCAAGTAAATATTGCCAGTTGGACATGAACATAATTTAATGATCTTCTCCTACAATGGGATAGACTTGTTTCTTAGATGGTGTTATGTGGAGAAAATGTGTACACACTTTATATCAGTGTCTAAAAACTCATTTGAGTTTACTGCTCCACAATTTCATGCATCTTTTTTTTTTATTCAGAAAATCCAAACGTTTTTGCTGCCCACTGGTCTCAGTGTTTTTCCTGCTTCTCCCACCTCTCTCTGCTCTCTTTGTTGTTTGATTGAGAGCTCCTCACTGCGGCTCAGTTCTCGGCGGGCGTTGGTGAGCTCAGCCTCGAGATCGGCCATGCGGGCGTTAAGGGTGGCCGAATGTTCGCGGCTCTGAGCGAGCTCCTTATTGGTCCGATCCAGCAGCTCCTGGAGCTCAGACACCCGGCTGCCATCATCGTGGGCATCTATAGAACCATTGGGTAATCTCTGTAACATGGACACACAAAATTAAAAGATACAGCCCAAACCGCATAGATGTATTATTCAAATTCAACACACATTAGATCTGAGTTACAAATTTGTGATGGTTAATGCAATGGGCAGAAGGAATTAAGAGTTGTACAGCAGATGAAAATGTTGGCTGACCTACATATAAAAGTGGTGAGATTTATTCATACAGGGCTGCCATGTAGTTGTTTGGATGTTTCCCTACTCCTCACAGCTCAAAGTGCAATTATTTCCAGGGTCTTAATTAAACAAACCATCAGGGACACATATTTCGACAGGAAACACAGTGGGCAGCCAGTGCTCGATGGACCCCCTCTGCTTCCTCATGTTCTGATTTTGCATGCTCATGAATACCATCCAAAAAGAGCACATATTACTGTTGCAGAATTATTGCTAAACTGGGTGAAACTGCCAAACAAAATACAACTGGTGAGCAGTGCAACTGTGTTTTATTCCTGATAAGCCAGTTCACATTTCTCATATTTCCTTTCTGTTACTGTAGGACAAACGTTGTACAATACTTGAACATTCTTAGCAATGGATGGGACAATCCATTAAGCTTTTAAAAATAATAGGATAAAAATAGGATAAAAATTTCCCCAAAAACTTCTTCTGCATCTTTCTTATAATGCATCTCAAAGTTCGCATTAAGTGCCACCCCCTGCCCAATGGACTTAGTCTGGCCAATTTTCTCCTTATTTTTTCCACTTCACACTTTGTGACTATTCTCCAATACAGTCTGCCTGCTTTCATTCCTTCTTAATGGTTAGTTATTGATTGTGCTTCTCTGATAGAGACTGGCTCAGAAATAGGTACAGCACTAAGGGCTGTAGTATCTAATCAGAAATAGAAAAAAGTGCTCGGCTGTTTAATCACAGGGAAATGTGTTGCTCCTCACAGATCCAGTCAAAGATACGTACAATGGCCGTAAACCAGGAAACACAGGCTTTCCCATTATCAGAGGGATTCTACTGTCTGCAGACCTTTTAGTCTCTGTATGTGTCTAGATGTGTTGACATGACACAGGAAAACAGAAAGCAGTTACTAAAATAAACAGACACTAGACAGACAAATACTTTACGGAGACATAAAATAAAGCACAGAGCAGAAAAACAATCACACAGCCAGGAAGACCTTCCATGTAGGTTTGGATCCATCTGTTCGCTCAAAGTCACCATCCTTTCTCTGCTTTACCATGTTCAACTGCAAGGTAGATTCAAAAGAAAGAAAAAATAAACTTTACAAACACACATTTACAAATAGATTTTCCAGTAACATGAAAAGAGAATCAGGAATAAATAATATTTTACAAATGTACATGAATTACATGAAGGGGGGTGGGGGGATTTAACGTTTACCTGATGTAAATATTCAATCAAAATCTTTTTATCAGCACTCATTTATTAAATAAGAGTTTTATGCATGAGTAAGAAAACAGGGCTGAGTAGACAGAGTCTCTCATGTTGGGAGTGAAGAGTACACCTCATCAGACAGGAGGCTTCAACAGATGTCTTTTTGGGACCGAGCAGATGTTCCTCTTTGCAAACACGTAAGACAGACTCATACGCTCCCACAAACGGCCCCATCTAAACACACAGCCTCTTTACCTCTTGTGTGGAAGATGCTAGTTGTCCCTCAAGGGTGGCCACCCTTTCCAGAGCCACCCGAAGCCTCTCACGCACCTGAAAAACCAAACCAAAAGGTAAGTCTCAATCAGTTAAAAGTTAACTTTCTGCACCTCAAAAGGTTTTCCTTCATTTACATGGGGAACTTCTTCCTGTTTCACTGAGGGACTAATGAGCTTCATTAACATCTTAACAGCACAGAAAAAGGAAAATTGACCAGTTCAGGAATAATCGGGAAAAAAGAAGACAGCCGTTCTGTCAAAAGAAAGCGTGGCGCGGGAAAAAGGCATGTGAGGAAATGACCTAATGAGGAAGTTGTGTGTATGTGTGTGTGCGAGCCCACCTTTTCATCCAGAGCCTTGTGGTGTTCAAACAGCGACTTCAGAGCTTTGAGGACCTCCACCTCGCTGGAGACTCCAGATGGCGGGGGTGCCTGTCTCTTTACCACTGTCATCCTCAGGCTGCGCTCGTGACGAGACACCAAACACTCCAGGTGCTCCAACAGCAGCTACAGCGTCACACGTATGAATGCATTCATGACCACGGAATGTGCATTCGAATGCTCGCAATGCCACTAGACGAACACGACCACACACATACCCTGGTGTTGTTCCTCTCGGCTTTCAGCTCGGATATTTCCTCCTCTTTCTCCAGCAGCTGTTCCCTGCATATGTTCAGCTCCTTTGTCAGGGTGGCAAACTCCTGCACGGCAGACAGATGCAGAACACCCACGTGGCCGGTTAATGTATGGACGGTCAACGCTTTGGACACCACTTTGGTTGGACTGATTGTGTAGGTATGTGCGAGCAACCAATCTGATGGCCCGAAGCCCAAACGCCCGGCAGATAAAGAGCAGCCCATAAGGAGCGCACTGATCGGAGATGTGCGAGGAATGCTTTATCAGCGGTTGACATTAGGGAACGCTTAAATAATCGGCAGCCCAGGCTGGTCTCTTCAGACTGTTTTAGTGTGAGAGATACTTTCTGTGCGGCTGCGATAAGAAGCAGTCTGAGAGGAAGGAAATTTCCTGACAAAGTGCAGTCAAAATGGCACCGTGTTAACTGATCAGCCTTTACAGGTGCCACCCTGGCTACTTCAGTACGTACCTCTGGATAACACTCACCCCCCAATCTCCCTACTCTAACCGTCAGAAAGTCACAGGTCACTGAAGTCTATCCCAGCAGACATTTGGGAAGAATTAAGGTACACACTATGCATGGTGTTAGTCTGGTTAATATTTAGGTTAAACATATTTAAGGGAAGTTGGTTGCCTTCTTGAAGTTAAAAAACCCAGTAATGTTACTACCGGTAATTGTAATTTCATATTGAGGGTGACAAGTCAAAATACAGCGGAGAGAACAACAGTACTGGGGATCTTACTCACATCACATCCTGTTAAAAAAAAAGTAGTGTGGGCATCGGGAGAAGGGGTGTCCCATTTTTCTCCAGGACAGAAAAGGGAATCTTGGATAGCACAGGTTCCTTCTTCACTAATCTCAAATCTTTATATTCTTAAAGCGCCCTGCTTGTTTAGATTTATGGTATCCATTACACCAGCCCCTCAGGCATTTGCTGCTCAGTGACATTTGTAGTCTGGGGTCACTAACAAAGTATTTCTCTGCAAAACAGCCATCAAGGGAGACATGCTTACCGCTCAGTTACAGCATCAAACCCACTGGCACAAAAAGTAGGTAACTTTGCTCACAAAAAGTAGGTAATTTGCTGTGAAAACCCTCATTTACTCTGCCTGGCCAGAGCGCATTTAGAGGCACGACAGAGTTTTTCAATATTTGGTAGGAGTTGGTAATGTTTCGCCGACCAGTATCTAGCACACATAAACATGACCAACAAAATATTCAGACAGATTCAAATGAGTACACAACTTAGGTCTGCTACACTGGGGTGGAGAAGTCAAATATTATAAATAAATAGTTATTTGGAAAACATGTTTGTTTGCCTTGGAATAAAAAGTTAGATTTAGACAACTTTTCCTTTGCACAGTAAATATTAAATGCAGAAGCAGTGTTGATTTTAACTTAAACCAAGTGATGTCAAGTTCTCGACCAGGAGATTCATATGTATCTTATTCAAGTTTTGCATGAGATGCGAGTTAGGATGTTTCACAAAGTGCTGTGGTTTTCTTTTAAGTAAACAAACCAATAATGCATCGTTTTGCCATTGTTAGTATGTATGTGACACATTTCTTAAGAATGTATAAATGAGCTTACTGCCATTGAGTGAGTCATAATTTCTTCACAATCTTTTATTATACATGTCCTCTACTTTATTTCCGATAGCAGCACCTATTTTTTCACCTCCATAAACACCTACGTGTTTCAGACCTGATGGACATTTTATCCTTTTTTTTTAGTTGTTTAAGTATAGCTCCATTAACTTTAACACTACAGGCTCCGTTGGCGGTGCCTTTCAGGAATGTGTTTGTTTTTTACAGTCTATAAAATTTAATGGTGTGTGACCTGGTCATTTTTCATGCTGTGGTGTGCTATGCCTTTAAATGACATCAGTCTGAGGGGTTTCAGAGAGAATTGATCATTGCAATTCAAGGCTCTTTCAACATGACAACCGATAGCACTTGAACGTACAGTAAGAACCGTTCATCCAACCTGCTTCTCAGTGCATGAAGGTTTTTAAAACATTTGCAAGTCCTGCCAATGTCAGATATATGTAATAAGACTGGTGTTATGCCTCAACGTTGATTGTTAAGATAAGTGGAGGTGTAGCCCAGGCTTCATAAGCTGTGGAAAAAATAGTTAAATAAAGAAGAGTAAAAGAAAAAAAAAAGTAAAAGTCTGTTATTTAGTTTGTATGAATGTGTGAGAGAGATAACTGGCAGAGAGAGACTCACGACAAAGAATATGTTTTTTTTTAAATGTTTTCTTTTATTTTGTGTGCAGTTTATTATTTTTCATATTATTTAAAAAAAAAATGTATTAAAAAACTTTTTGTGAGTATGGTCAATGTTGATGTTCCATCCTGGGTTTCATGAGCGTTACCTAAGAATCCTGATAATTGAACTTTAAACCCAAAATTACCTACAAAGGCATAAAATCTTTATTCCTATATTTAATGTGAATCCTTTGCATCACGATTACCTCTATAAGCCCACTGCCTATCTAAGCAGTCAGTTCTCACGTCAGAGGGTGTTTCTTTGTACTGTATCTTGGCACCATATCTAATCCACTTTCCCATACAGTTTTCTGATATGCTCTGCACCACTGATTAAATTTGTGCAAGGTGTGAACCTAACAGTGCTCCCGTTAAACCACACAGAGATGCACACAGCCTTTGCTTAGAGATGACTTTATAAAATGTATTTCTATCAGTTTTGGCTCTGTTGCACTGCTGCAGTGATTGGTTGGCTGTAGTCTGTGAAACTGTGTTTGCGTATGGAATTGCACGTGTGGGTATGCGAGAGAGACGGTCTGTATGTGTGCCCATGTTGTTTGAACTTCTCTTGGTGCTTTGCTGGCATTTCCTGTAGGTTTGGCTTTAGTCCAAACCAATACCCAGAGGTTCATTCTCTCTCTCTTCTTGTCTCATATAATCATATGCAAATGGACACACATTCAGACACACTTGTACTTTTTAAAGTCCTAAGGCCCCCTGCAGCTATAACGCTCTACAGCCTTATGATGCACATAAACACTGAGACAACTCAAATAGTCGGCATTGAAAACATTCAGTATATCCATTTCACAATCACAAAGATGGTGAAGCATGATGTGAATGGAGACCAGCATGTCTTATACTGTACCGACTGTTGAACTTTCTGTGTGGGGTGTGCATGTTCTACAACCGCACGCGTAGGTTCTCTCTTATTGTTACTGCTAAGGTTTGAAAACAGTCTCTCCGGGTTCTCCGGCTTCCTCTCACAGTCCAAAAACCTGCATGTTAGGTTGATTGGACATTGGGCATTATCTGCTCAAATGAGCAAATGTTAGGAACAGAGGAAATTAATTAAATTGTCAATTCTTGACCTTGATAATTGCTTCAAATCTAGTGTATCTGAGATGCATTCAGACGTGTGAAAACTGCTGCTCTGATCCAATTACCGACTTCAATTGTAAAACTAAAACATTAATGAAACATTGCGTCATTCTCCATAGAAAACAGGGAGGTTGGTTGGCTGCACCTCACAGCCCATGTGTTAAGAATTCATGAAACATCCCTCTGTACAAACACGTCTGGCTGTCAATTCAGCCATCCACTCAACCCGTGGCAGGGTAGTGAAAAAGGCAAAGCATAGAAAACTTCTGGCATGACTGAACCCCTGGCATGCTGCATGCGGCAATGAACATTTCTTGAAACCTTTCTTACATCAACATCAATATGTTTTTCAAATTTGTGAAACAAAAACTTTATTTTCAGGTTTTTGGTCGGTGGGAGAAAGCCGGAGAACCCGGAGAGAACCCACGCAGACACAGGGATGCAAACATGCAAATTCCACACAGAAATGTCCTGGGTTCTTGAACCGAGAACCCTCTTTGCTGTGAGGTGCTAACCACCACACCACCTTACTGAGCATGCCATGCTAAAAAACACTGTCTACTGAGGTCATGTGACTGCATGAAGTCAATTAAAGACAAGCTACGCAGTAACACTTGCATAGACAGTATGACAGAAACTAACCAGTATAAATAAAAGGAGCAAAAAAAAAAAGAACGAGGCACGCCAGCTCATTCTGTGGGACATATTCATCTCCATGCAGATGGCTGTGTTCCCTCTGTGCTCACCAGTGTCACACACTCACTACTTTATCTGAGGCGCTCCCATAACAGATCCTGTCACAAAAAACACTGTACTGTTTTTTCCATACACATATTGCTAATGTTGCCATATGTTTGTAGCATGCCATTAGTGAAACTGGAACATTGGTTACTAGGCCTTTTCTGCCCAATATGCTTTAATCTATGTTAAAGAATGAAACATGTTTTGTTGTTGGGGACAGAAATTGAGATGTCAGATGGCTGTGGTGCCCATGTACTCATTAGCATCAGCAGAATTGTTTCACAATTTTTGAGACTTGATAGTAATGTTAATATTAAAAAAACATACATCTTAATTTGATTTGTGCTTTAAAAATGACTCACGTCATGTCATCAAAATGAACATTTCCGTACTCCAGCACTCAATGCCTGAAATCAATTAAATTAATTTCAGTTCATAAATACTCCATTAGTCCATGAAGGAGGCTTTAATTGCTGCTATATAAATTGTTGTTAAGGAAATGCTATCTTTATAGATAGATAACCAAATTAAATAAGAATCAGCTGACAAACATTACAAATCAATACATAGTAATATAAAGCTGATATTCGGCAGAGAGATAATGCACAAGGAATACTTGGAGATCCCTGTTATTTACGGCTAACAAAGAAATGTTTAGAACTTCTTCCTCCTTTTTCTTTCTTTTTTTAAAATTCTGCATCCTGGACGTGTCCTCAAACAGACCAGGGAGGGGAAGTGATGAACACTACTTAAACTGAGTAATTGAGAATCAGAATTTAATAACAGAAACCAGATCAGAAAGAAATCAACCATTCAAACCTGACAGCACATCGACACATTCCCACAGACACTGCCGTTCTTATTAAAAGCGAAGAGAATGTGGAAAAGCAAGGAAAGAAGCAACTGACGGAAAGGGGAAAATGGGTCAGCTTGCTCGTTATACTTTCTCTTATTCCACAGGGGTGCATCAATAGACAGGAGCTCAGCTAAAATCCACCAACAGATGTTAAAGCTCACTGTCTCTTTCTGTCATGGCAAAAAGGCTCAACAGGCCACTTCTAGTTCTTCACTTCATCTCTTCATCCACTCATCCGTCTGCTTCATGAGAGCTC